CACTGTGCAATGCTGCCCTAATTACACTGTCTAGAATAGCTGAGCCATGTTCATTAAAAAAGAAGTCAAATTACTGAATCTCTCTCTCATCAATCTGGTTATTATTTCGATGACCAGGTCAGCATTGAGACTGTTTATGAAAAACAGAACCTGAAGATGGTCTTACCAAGGACACAACTGCTCCCTTGCAAGTCACAACCTCAAACACGTTGGAGATGGAGACTAGCAAAGCAAACATAGTGGAAGCACATCCCCTCATGTCAGAAAGCAGAGGCAAAGACTTCACAAAACAAATGGTGAGAGGGAGATGCAGCATCCCTCTACTTACTGCCAAGTGTCCAGGGTGCAGTTCTAAAGAGCAGACATCCTTCAAGCTACTGTGGAAAAGCCACTCTTGGAGACCAATCCTGGCACTGGAAGGTTATTGCCAGCCAAGGCAGTCTTGTTTGCACCAGTCACAGCAAGGTGGCACAAATGGCAGCCTTTCCCCAGCATGCAGCTGTGTCCGAACAAGGCAGTGGTGATTCCCAGTGTCTGACCAATCCAGGTCACATGCATGCCCTGGCCTGGCAATCCTGCCCTCGAACTGACCAGAGCCTCACAGCACCTCAGTGACCATCATTTCTCATCCACATGCTAAACCTCAAAATAATGCCAAACTCCAACTTACCAGTTTCATTGATGAAGCAGGTATATATTTTTTAAATCTCAGAAAATGTAACAACATACATGACAAAATTCTATTCTATACCCCTTGAATTATACTTCCTCAAACCAGAAGACAAAATGAAGAGGATCTGGTCTCCAGACCAGTGATCCAGAGCTAGAAAGCACTATAATTAGAATCAGGACAGAGACTGAAGACCCAGAGTTGATTGCAAAACTAATTAGCTAATGTTATTACAAAGTAACAGAGAATAACCAAGAGCAGAATCAGACTCTACAGCAATCTAAGCAAAGGACAGTTTAATAACTGTACTTAGGATAGGTTTTAAAGGAAAAAAGAAATCACTTTATGGATTATATTTCATCCTGGGCAATATCCATACATCTTGGACTTAGCAAAATGGCTTGGAGAAGAGGGTTTCATCATAGTAAACACAGCTACTTCACAGCAAGATTTATTAATACATCCAAAAGAAAGAAAGAAAATCATTTTGTCACACTATATACAGATAATACATACAGTGTTTTATACACATATTACATCAGTTTTTACACAAGAAAAATATACATAAAAATGTAAACTTTTGTATACAAAAACCCTTAAACAAATTAAACAAGGACCAGATAACAAAAGGAGACCAATCTATCATCATTTAATTGATTTTTTTTTTTTTAATGGTAATACAGTACATTCATTGAGAAGTATGAGGAACATGTGAGCCAACCTTTCCTATTTAAAGGGAAAGTACAAACACGAGCTTTCCTACCCGCCCCTGGAATGCTGTCCGTGAGCCTCCAGCACTAGAAGCAGTAGTGCAAGTTGCCATTTGCTGCCAGGGACCCCGAAGGAAGGGACCCTTCTTCTTGGGCATCTCCATGCACCACACTCTCCAAAAGCGACACATCCGCAGCAGCCGCCTGGCCTGGGCTTTTTGTGCGTATTAGCTAGACCTCCAGCTAATACCATGAGACGGGCTGCGGCAATGCAAGTTTGTATGTTCCCTTTAAGCAGTCATTAAGTGGATTAGCTTTGCTGGAGTAAGTTGCTTATTTTTCCCAATGTACGGTATGCTGAACACGTGTCAGGGATGAGAGGGAAAAAGGAAGGGGTGTAAGAGACTGCTAATCCTTGCTACCATGCAGTTACTTCAAAATCAGGTACATTTGCAAGCTACAATTCACTGGTTCAAAATACACTGCCTCACCTTTGCTTTCCCACTGCAACTTGTTTACATTTTAAACTCTAGTGACCGAACAACTGTATGAGGCTCTTTGTTACAAGGCTGTTTCTGATATCAAAGCATGATCAAGCTACCTTTAAAATGACACCAAACACAAACTTCTCGGAGACAGCCTTAAAAAGAGTGAGCGTTCCCTCTAAGCACTTCAGATTGTCCATTTGCCACCTTCTTTTATTAAATCTAGGATAAATATATTTACCCTTAACTGCAAAAAGGATATTGGTTGAGCTTTTGACATCTGTTTTGCTCCACTTGCAAATAAACATTTTTGGGAATTGGAGGGGGGAAAACCCCAAAAAACAAACCCACAACAATAAACCCAAATTCCAAAACCTCAGGCATCAAATAAGAAGGGAATTATTTAACATGTTGGTGAAAAAACAGTTGCAGAAACTTGTTGGAAACCAACAGACGATAGATTCCAATGAAGGCTCCTCACATTAAATAAGTTAGACTGGTTACAGACATCTTCAATAAAAACATCCATCCTCCACAAAGTATGTTAAAATGTAACACAATAGTGATGCACTGGTATTTCTCCTAAAAAGGACAGAAGGACATGAAATCTCCTTAGTGATATCAGTACTACTGAATGTAGGAGGTGAACAATGATTTACAAAAGTAATGACGGAAAAAGTTGTGTAAAAGAAACCATGAATCATTAATTATAATTGGATAAAAGGGGGATGGGGCAGAATGCAACTACAGTATGCCTCAGAAACACCTGAAGAAAATACTTAAAAACTTGTGTTTCCATTTCTTTCTTAGGTCCATCTAAACGACGGTGGGACTAAGGGCTTGTCTGCTTGCTTTTGGTTTTTTTGTTTTCTCTTTTTTTTCTTTTTCTTTTTTAAACTAACAACCCTTCTAGTAAAAATTCAAAAGACAATTACAAATGGCTTTAGATAATTAAAAGTCTCCTTTTTAAAATAAAACTTTGATAACACATTTCTCCATATCTTCTATATAATGCAGCTTCAGTGAAAATAAGTCATAAGGGACAGCAATTTGCAAAAAAGTGTGGAAAAAATTGCCAACCAAGGTTCATAACATATACATATGTATATGCAGGACATCTACACTCTATATACATATTTAATATACGTATGCATGAGTATATATCAGGAGATACCCAACAGGTACATTCTCCACATACATAAACTGAAATAGCGTAATAGACATGTGTGTATAAATATACATTATACACACCCAGAACACAGACATACCCATACACACGCCCCAACATATGTATCATAGAAATCACTGTGTATGACTGCATGAAAGCTCAGATGGAACAGTGCACCAGTTACCTTTTCCTAACAGAAATTCAAGGAAGACAAAATTCCATGGCTGAATTGTGGCCAAGAAAAATTGTGTCATAGCCATCCTGAAAACATGGAATCCAGTATGGCTCGATGACAGAACTGAAGCCTAAGTTACACTGCTCTTAAATGTGACTGAGCAGGTTGCTGACAGCTGCTTTCTGCTAAAAGGATATAGAAGCTCCATTTAGCCAGAAAACAGAAAATAAAACACTTAAAACCACAATTTACTTGCATAAGCAAGATCACCCAATGCACAATCAGATGCAAAGTGCTAGCATGTTAATGGTCAACTCTGCATACCGTTTTAAAACCTGTTTTATGGTAAAGTGTAACAAAATGTGTTTCTCTTGATGTCTGATGACAACCCCACTGCTCAGAGCACAGGGCTCCCTTCTGCTTTCTGCCTGTGTTATGGGAAACACAAACCCAACTCCCTTTTTCTTCCTGGGGCTGAAAACTGGAAAAGATAATTTTTGTTGGGTAGGGTTTTCTCATTTAGACCATTTAAATATGATGCTGGGTTAACCTTTTAATATGCTAGGGAGCTTTGCATCAGGTTCTATGAAAAGTTTGTATTCATCTGCAAATCAATCGCAGTTGTACCGAAGCACATCTGAATAGCTGGGAAATTTTGCATAAGTTCAAGCAGGTGCTCAGGGCCCAATTCAGCTGCCACTACAATCACCAAGAAAATTTCCCTAATGCATAAGCAGAGCTGGATTGGGCCATTAAAGCTGATTGCTGCTAGCAAGAGAAACTGTAGAGATGCAGGGACAAGGAGGAGCTGGAATGGAGGCAATGGAACAGAGAAGCAGAAGAGGTTGGCATTGCAAGAGGCCTCAACAAGTCTTAATATAAAACAAAGGCAGAGAGGTACCAAGGAGACTGCACTGTGAGGGCTGAGGTAACACAAACCAACGGTGACCAAGATCAGATCAGTCACTGAGTCATCCAGGTCCCTCAGAAGAATTAACAAAAACTCATCTGGCACAAGGGCTTACCTGTTACACATATGTTACGTGGATAGTCCCTCTCTTTAGCTCACACATTGACTCATGTTACAACTAATGTACATGTGTGTGACACAACATATAGTCCATCTATACATCTGTATGCACGTATATATAGATTTAGACTGATTGCATTCATAAGTATTTATTGTACATCATGAGGGCAAGTCCACATTCAGCCAAGTGCTACCATTGTCTCATATACAGATAATCTCTCTGTACAGGTATACACAAAAATGGGTCTATTCTTCCCCATAAAGGCATAAAGATTTATGCTCCTAATTCGCATTACCACCAAATAAGCAGAAGGAAAGGCCTCTGACAACTTCCACCTCGCTGCCCTTTTGCCTGTATGCATATGTGCCAGAAACAAATTGTGGGGAGAAGGAAAGGGGGAGGGATGTCTGGGGGTATCAACAAATGATAGGGAGGGGGGATATAAAAAAATTGAAAAAAATTTCTAATTTCTGTGCAGTATTGGAAGCTCTGTTTTTCTAAACAGGTTTTTAAAGTCACCAGGATCATCATAATTACAAGTGATACTGTATGAATAAATAACAATTAGGTTATTTTCTCCAGCCTAAATAGAACAGTATGAAGAGTAAGCCAATCTGTAGGAATGTTTCTGATTTCTCACAATTTCAAGTGAGAACTCCCATAAAGAAACCTTCCTTCTCCAATTATGAAAAAACAGGTAAGTGGCCACAATCAAATTTAGAATTTCACAGCACAAGTGAAACTCCCTGGACTTCATGGTGTTTTTTTGTTCTGCAATCCCACAACAGCAATTTTGGGGCAAAATGATATACACAAAGATCCTCATGAAAGAAAAATATCTACTTTGAAGACAAAACCCTTTTATGGAATGGAGACCACTCCACAAACAGTGCCCCTTACAACCTCATTGGAAAACACAAGTACACTGATTGACAACATTTTCCAAGTTAGACCACAGGAGATTTGGGTATTAATTTGCAAAGATACAGCAATTCTCATGCCTCCCCATCCCACCAAATGCAAACCTTCCCATTCAGTTTCTCCTGAAAAACTCATTTCTCCCATCATTCTTCATCCCCCCTTTGTTTTATTTAAAGGCTGTCTTTGGGAGCTTGGTATTTTCATGGCATTTTAAACAGGGCTCAATGTAACTCATTTGAAAAACAGTAAAATTGACATGATATCAGAGTTAGCCTTATAACAGAAGATTATATAGTAGAGAGTTTCAGTTATTTATACAACAGTGAGGACATAACAACCCCCTACTAAATAATCACATTTCTACAATACATTCCATCTCCTCTCAACTACTTTTCTCTTTACAAAACTATGACCTACATACAATATACACATTCGTATCGCACATACATCCCCCCCAATGCATATTTTTTGTGTGTATATATAATACATACATGCACACAAGCAGTCTAATTCTATTTATAAGTCACAGTGGGAATTCCTTTGTGAGGAAAGGAGGGGGAAAATTCCTGAATAAGACACTGTAGATTCCTAATGTTCCAACTTTTCAAATTCCAACTCACAGAGCTAACTGGAAATAAATACATTAAAAAAAAAGAAAAGGTCTTACAAACTTGGTTCACGACTTCCAGCTACAGTAGTTGGATTTTTAAAATTTGATCTATTTACCCTGTAACTAAATTTCTAATCATAGGTACAAACCACGGATAAATTATTGCAGAATGTAACACTCAAATTTTAAAAAGAGTTATAGGAACAGTAATATAAGGGTTAAAAAGAGTTCTATACTTGTTGATACAGGATACCATTTTATTTTATTTATATATATATCTATATATAGATATAGATATCTGCAAGGTAGCAAAGAATAGCTGTACACCTTGACACGGCAAAGATCCAGTGTAAAAAGGTGCTTCACTAGTTTGTTTTTCCAAAAAAGCTTGTATATAATTTTATAGCTATTAAAAACACATATGCAACATAATTCATTACACTCAATACAGCTTTAGTATAAAACTTATAATTTATGAGGTGATGTTAATAGCATAAATTAATATACCATTTCTCTTAAAATCTACAATAAGTATTCTGAAAGCTCATTGGGGAAGGGTATCTTTAAATAAAAAGTTTAAAGCTGAGCGTGATGAAAAAGATTCTGTACGTTGAACTTGAGATGAGAGCCCCGAGAAGAGAAAGAGTCCGTAAGCCAGACATCGTTGACTATAAAACTGAATAAAGATTTCTCCTTCTTGCGCTCTCACTTCGGTGACGCTCTACCTTAAATTATTATTTACTTTTAAAACTATTTACTTTTTTTTTTCTTTCTTTCTTTTTTTTTTTTTTTGTTTTTTTTTTTTTTTTGTTAACTGCCCTTATTTCCACAAGGAATCCCTGAGACATACCCAAAACTGTACAGTGAAGGTCATCACTGTTCAGAGAAACTGGTTCAACCCCTTCTGGTAGGATGTAGCTATTTTGCATGAGAATCAAAATGTCCATCACTTCAGAATTAATCTATTTGCACCAGAACCAACTACACTGTTTAAGATGCAGGTTAGAGAGTCATTTCAGGGTAAATCAGTCCACTCCAAGGCAGAAGCCAATGCCATCGCAGTTAGCTACATCAGAGCAATCTGCACCAAAGTTAAAGTTTTCCAGAGGGTATCTGGGAACGTTACCTATCCCGAGTTCATCTCCGTGGGCACCAGCTGACAACGACAGAAAGCAGGTTAAACATTAGCATTACTGGACCAAGTTCAACATGCCTATGTGGTCGACACGCGGGCACTCTGGACATCTCACTGTGTGTGTGTTTGGGGACTAGCAAGGGAAGAGTATGAAGAATGCATTTTTCTACAGCGAGTAAGTACAGTTTTATGGTCAAAAGCCCAAATTTCATCCTATTCACTTCCAAACCAAATTCTGTGACCTAGAGTAGACTGAAAAGGTGCCAACACTTACTTCAAGGAGACATATAAAGAAAGCCTTCTCCAACTATTGCTCTCAACGTGGAGCCACACCCACTTTCTCCTTTCATGCTTCCACTACATTAACTTATTCCATAGTAGCTAGAGAAGGACTATGTGAATGCAGAGTAAAACAGGGGAAAGCAAAGAACTCAACAACAATGAGAAGTACCAGAACAGCAAAGGGAAAAGCTCCCAAAATAGTCACTACTGTATTGTTGTTTTTTTTAAAAAAGAGGCTGAAGACATGAGAGAGAAAATTGTTTTAAGATGCATCTTTTTAACTCCTTCTCCTCCACCAAACTTTTCTTCCCAACAACAGTTTTTGCCTACTTTTAAAGACAAGACCAAAACTTTACCCAACAAGAGCTAAGGTCTCTCATGACCAGACTTCCCCTAAAGTCCAAGTTTAGTAAATATAAATATAGATTTTTTTCACCAACCCTCCTTACTTTTATTTGGGCTTGTGCGTATTAAGAAAGAATAATTTAAATTTTTCTTTTTGACTTTCTACTGACACACTTCTCAAAAGAAGAGGAATTTCTGAGAAGGCAAACTCTTGCTAAAAGTACCTCTATATTCACTGCTAGTGTGTGCACTCCCATGATCAATGTTGTATCCTCAGCATCTAGTTCATGACATATTAGTGTGCTGTGAAACATCTCCTTACTCATTGATCTGAGAAATACTTTGATCTACTGCACTGTCATTCTAGCATCCAAAATGTATGTTATGAATTGCAGTCATCTCTCCTCCCTTTCATTTTACAGTCAGATTCACTTAGAACTATGGAAGACTTACCAGTTGGCACTTACACTGGAGAAGTGTCTGAGAATGGGAAAATAGAAGCAAGAATGATGAAGAATGCTGAGTGAAAGAAAATAAAGGGGGTACAAGAAGCACCCACAAATTCCCCTTATTAAATGTTACCCAAAAGATCAGAAAGACCTTGTGATCAGAAGATGAGAAAGACCTAAAGATCTGGTCAGCACATTAGCCCAAAACTATTCCTTCAGTTGCTGTTTCTACCACCACTGGACCTTGCACAGGAGACTCCTTCACATGTAAAAATACAAAAGCAAAAATACACCAGTTCCACCAGGGAAGCTGCCCAGACAGCCACACAAACATCTCACTGCAGAAAATCACTGCAGGTAATTTTTCTACTGTTTGTCTGCTGAAAGCACCTCCTGCCACTGTCTCTGCACTCTGCAAGTCTTGAAAGGTCCAACTACAGGTAGCTGGATCTTCTAAAAGGCTTCCCTCTTCTCTGCCCAAAGGCTCATACTGTTGGAGAATTCATGAGTGGATTTAGCTCAGTGCAGCACAAAGATAGGGAGAAATACCCTTGGAGGTCTGCCAATACCTACAGGGAAATGCAGCAGCAAAGGGGCTGCAGGAGCTCAGGGAGCTGGTGTTCAAAAGCAGTGTAGGTAGCCACCAGGGCCAGCTTCTCAGGGAAGACATCTATCCAGTGTTTATTGTACACTTTTGTAGGACTCTTCTAGCAACCAGATTCAATCCCAGACTGTATTTAGATGTGGTTACAGCAAAACAAAGCTTCAAACTGAATTTGGATACTGGTTTGCAGGTTCAATCCTAGGCTTTTTGTCTTGACACCTAAAGCCAGTGGCATCACACCATGCCTAACAGCTCACAACAGAATTTCCCAATAGTCATGTTTCTCTTTAAAAAAATAATTAAAAATTAAAAAGCCACTTCCCTTAGCTTCTCTTTGCTACTAGGTACAACTCTCCTTTGAGAGAGAGTCGTTGAGAGATTTTCTCTGCTTTTTGCCTAGCAGCTGATAAGATTCTCACGGCTTTCCAAGGCTTTCCAAATGAGAACTGCAAATTCCCATTTTCAGTGGGAAACCTAGCTCTTGCCATCTTCTCCACAGTACCTGAGGCAGACCTGCAACTGTGCTACCTCTCAGCATTATCAGTGTGCTCAACCACAGGGAGAAGCATGCTACTATAACAAGAATGGATCTAAGCAAGAACCTGGAGGAACTGGAAGGCAGGAGGAAACAAAATTACGCATCTTTTCCATCTTCTTGCATCACACATACATCATCTTGTATCATAATAATTATGAGGACAAAGAGCAAATCAGTTTTGAGCTATCTAAGCACATATGGCTCCCCTCAGAGTTGGTGTAAAGTCTTCCCAGGGGAAAGGAAACGTCAAAGCGTATGGTAAAGAATGCCTTAAACACCAGGCAAGCATGAAGCTGTTCCTGATAAGCCTCCATACACTGTCAAAATTCATCTTGGGTTAAGTACTTCAGTACAAAGACTAATTGAGGTGCTATTATTGCCAAAAGTGATGTTACATATTCTATTCTATGTCTAATTTTTTTTCAGTTCTTTAAAACTCAAATCTTATGTAAAGAAATTAACCTTTAGGTTCAACTAGACTTATTCCATTTGTTAACATGTAAAGGGCACAACAGGTATTAAGCATCTCAAATCAATGAACTGAAATTGCTACACTGGCTCTTTGGTGAAAGTGTGATGAGAGTGCTAATTGCTGTAAGAGCTGATACTCAAAAACCTTTGTGAGGGAGCATAGATTCTACTTGGGAACCACATAAGTAACAGCCTCAAGGACTACCTTAACCAGACGTGCAGTATTTCCCAGAGGAAGAAGTATGAAACATCTCTGACTGCACATACCCCTCAATTGGATCTCTTGCATCCAACAGTAAGACACTGATGCACTGAAGTCAACAGGCTGTGTGGGTGTAGAAGTCCATCTGGAATGATCCACCTTGTAAAGCTAAGATCAAGACCCGTAACTGCTTTTTAGGCTGTAACCATGACATTGGTGGCATTGAAAAAAATGGGAGGTGAACCAGAAAAAGGCAAGAGTGGTGGCCCATTTCAGAACACTGCGTCAAACAGGACAGAGGGATTCCTATTTCAAATGTATACAAACTGAAATTTATTTTTAAAAGTGCAGCTTTATTGCAAACTTAGTTTGCTCATTGAAAAATGTTACTCAGTCACTTTTGAAGAGTCATCAAGGGATATACAGAAATGGAAATCTAAGTGGGGGAAGAGAGTTGATATCCTAGGCTACTTTATAGAAATGCAGGTACATAAAGGCCATTGATTTCAAATGGGAACTGTGGACCTGCATACCTCTGACAGCTTTTGAAATTCCCATCTAGATCAACACAGATCAGGAGCTGGGTTCTGTTCTGAGTTACATCAGTACAAACTCAAGGTGACCTTAGACGAAAAAGCTCCTTTGTAATTTATACCAATGAGACCGAGGAGAAGTTTGCACTCAGTTCTTCTCCTCCCTTTCCCCCCAGCATTTTCTAAGAAAGGGAAGTGTGATGTGGGGCAAATATACTCTGCACTAGTTTGATGGGCACAAGAACCATTTCAAGACCAAGGTCCTGAAACCAATGTACAGAAATTGACACCCTCTAAAATTATGTGAATGCACAAACAGATTAAAGAATAAACTATTTGGTACACTAGTTCTCCGCTCCTTTTCAGTCATCTGAACAAACTGAAGAAGGTATATGGACACAACAAAAATCATTTGCAAATCAAACAGTTGTCTCCTCAACAAAGTATGGGTAACATAACACAAAAATAAATAAAAGCCTTATCAGATTTGCCTCATTCACAATTCCTCAATCAGCAGGACAATCACAAGCAGGATTTCATAGGCTTCAATTAAACTTTTTATGTGATTTAAAAACATTTAAATGTTACAAACATATTTAAATCACCACTTAAAAATATTCAGCTTATATTATTCAGATCTATTTTACCAAGTATGAAATAATGACTTCATAACAACAGAAGCATGAAAATAATTTTTGTTTCCTCCACCCACATACACTTGCAATTTCAGGAAAGGACATATGCATCATCCACGCTCTTTTATATTTAAAGAGGAGAGATCTTTCAAGAAAAGACGGATAGTATGACTGCTACAATAGTAAGACACAAGACCTATCCCATTTAAATTCTATTCCTTAGGAAGATGGAAGGAGAGGTTTGGGTCAGAGATTTTGGTGTGTGCCTGACTGCTAACAAAATGAATTTCTATAGCAACTAAACTTCGGTCAATGATCCTTTGCTCCAAAAATTTATTAGGTCTCCCTATTACATGTGCTTGGTTATCTCTTAATTTCCTGAAATAGACTACAATACACGTAGGTAGGACTTTTTCCTGTAAGGTAGAATGAAATCCGTCTTCCACAGTAAAAGACTGAAATGAAGAATATTCTATTTTCTCTCATCTGCATCTCAGAAATAAACCAAGAGTAGAGATTTGTAATATTAAGTAAGAGCTACTTTTACAGTCAAAGTCAGAGTACAGTAGCAAATTTGAGTCCTATAGAGTCACAAGCAAAGTCCTTTGTTTCCTTCTTGATAAGAAGATGCAAGTAAACACCTCAGAATTTCTTCTGTTGTTATCTCTTGGTTTAAAAAACGTAAAATTAAAAAATAAAATTATTTTTAAAAAATTCTAAAACCTAGTTGACTCCTTTCTTTAGGAACTGAAATTACTACCAAAGAGTCTGAATACTATCTTTAGCAGGTGCTCAGTACAAACAAAACCATCCTGCAGACAGAAGGAATTCTTACCTATTTTGCTTTAGTGATTTCTCTTTTGGTTAGCCATGACTGCTGATAGGTACCTGCTAGTTCCTTACACACATTCAGCTTCCCAAACACAGGATCAAATCCTACACATGTCAAAAAAACTATATGGCTCTCAGGGGATTAAAAACTATCCAAGGAAGTCTCACTAGCTAGACATATTTTGAGAAATGCATCCATTTGAAACTTGCAAAGGGTCTGACCTAGACTTGTGTGGACAGGGAGAATACCAACCAAATTCTTCCGGTTTCAGCTGGGAAATACCTGTTAGCCTGTCAGGCAAAGAGTTCTGGACAAAGACACACTTGAAAAGGCAAATCATCAATGCTACAAGGCCACAGTAATTCAGCAAGGAAGGGAACTTCTGCACAGGAATCTTCAGGAATCCATGGTCTATTTCAATCCTGTTTCTTTTTTTTTCCCTGGGCTAACTTCATATCAGCCTTCAAACTGATGGGCAACCAGTCAACTGATCCCTTTGCTACTCAATTAATTACAAATCATGATAATAAAAAAACTCCAAAATCAGCATGCAATAAGAACAGTGACCAGTTCTGGAAGGGGACAACTCCCTTCTTCACCAAAAGAAGAAAAGGAATTCTGCTCCCTGCACCCCAAACATACACACGCACACGGAGAAGGTCAAGAGACTATTTTAAGAAACTGCCAAACTCATCCTTGAACCATGATCTTGATTTAGGACTTCAGCGCACCATTTTCAAAGCAATGTGTGCAGCCAAGTTTTCCATGCCAGATGCTACCTTTGGAAAAAAAGTAAATTAAAAATAAAATAAATAAAACAAGAGACTTCTTCCCACTGGAAAACTTTCTACCAGATGCTAATGGGATAGCAAGCACTGATCTGAACCCTAGGGAACAGTAAAATGCATCAATGATCTGAGGTATCTTCCCATTTCTAGGTCTTACTGCTAAGATCAATTACATCCAGTAACTGTGCTGTATCCTTAAGGAATTATTGGGGAATGGTGAACCTGCCTGCAATAAATGAGCACCAGTGCATAACAAGCACATGTGAACGCTACAGCAAGGTTCACAGAGGGCTAACCCTGGTCAGTACTGAAGCAGGGGTTTTCTTCTCAACCCCCTCTTAAAAAACAGGGAAGGAAGAGAGGACAGAAAAAAATAAAGAAAAAGGAAAAAAGAAAAGATAGAAAATACAGGTCCCCCATCTACCTGCATGGAGCCAGGCAGACAAGCTCAGTTGGAGGTGGTGAAGGGCGCGGATGCGTTATTGGTACTGGTAGCGGTGGCACCGGTCACTGCGAAGCCCGTGGGAGGAGCTATGGAGCTGTGGCTGGGCTGCAGGTCCTTGGGAATGCCACTGTGGGAGCTCAGCTGGTGCCCAAAGGCTGCGCTGAACTGAGGGAGCTGTTGTTTAGGGGAGGTGGAGCCCATGAGTTCAGCAGAGGCAGGACCCATGCCACTAAAACTGGTCTGCGGTAACCCCGGAAGCACACTGGAGCTGTTGGGGGTCACAGTGGCGAAGGCAGGCTGTGTGGTCTCTGAGTGCGAGGTGGTAGGTGGTGTGGACAGGGAGGTGGACAGGAGGTGTCCATCTGCACCAAGAAGGTTGCTAAACGGAGAGGGGTCCCCAAGATTGACAGGAAGATTTCCCCAGTGAGTTCTGGGGTTGACCACCCCGCTAAGTGGCACATCCAGCTGAGTTGGGAGCAAGTGCTGTGCCATCATGGGCATCTCTGCTGAGAAGGTAGCTGCCAAATTATCACCAGAGAAGGATGTGGTGTGAGGGGATGTGATATGGTCACTGTAGGGAGACGGCACATGCTCACTATCATAATGGCTTCCATGGGGTGAGGAGTGTGAATGGTCACTGCTGTATTGCTGTCGTGAGGTGATCAGGTCATCTGCCTTGCTCAGCAGCTGGGCAGGGTGGGGCCTCTGGGAGGCATGGCTGCCATCATGAAGTCCATGAAACTGTCCCGGGAAGGCTCTCTCCCCAAGGCCACTCTGGCTTATCAGAGTGGCAGAAGTAAGGCCAACGTTGGCTGGGGCTGAGAACTGCCCCTGGATCTGCCCTGCCAGGGGCGTAGGTGGGTTGGACAAGGTAGCAGAACGGAGCAAGTTCTCATCCAGCTCCAGACCGGAGAAATTATCATGTACTATACGCCCATTCAACAGCTCCCCCAGATCCGTGTTAACCTCTCGACTCAAGGACTGCATTCCTGGAGCTCCAGCACCTGTAGAGAACACCCCTATCGCTCTATCTGACAGCTCCTGAACTGGCACACCATCTGTCTGTGTAAGTACTCCAATGGTACTCAGGCACTCAAGAGAAGTTACAGCCTGTAGGGCTCGTTCCAGTTCTTCAGCCTCTTCTGTAGTTGGAAGGAGATCTCCATTTTTACCTGTAGAAACAGGGACACCATGAGTTAGCACTCACCTCTCAGGTGAGCCTGGCACTGGCACTCTAAGGATGCAGATGTACAGACAGTGCAGTACAGAGCTGCAGTGTATGATAACCTTCCAGCATGGCTTGCAGTACACAGAAAATATCATTTGTCAGTCTTCACTAGGTAAACAAGGTAAGAAAACCAAGAAATTACACCTTCCTCTTCAATGGAACTCCCCCTCTCCACCGTCCTTTTCCACATACTACAATGGGAGATGCCTCTTAAACTTATTTAAGCATTTTTACTTTAGGTCTAGTAAGATTTTCTTCAATGCTGCAATAACACAAATAGTCCACAAACCCCCTTCCTACTTACCAATATTACAGCCTGGACCTAAAATTTACACAGACAGTATAATTTAGGTTACTATCAACTCAAACACATTCTGATGTCATGTTATATCAGAAAACGACCAAAGAAATCACGTACCCAACTCCAGGCTGTTCTAATTTCTGTGTTATATGTGATAGGTGCTGAGCTTTAGAACGCAGAAATTCAGGCACAGTTCTGATCAAGAACTAGTTTCAGAAACGTATTTAAAAATTTTATTCTCACTCTCTTCTCTTTTTATCAAAGGCCAATATTGACTGTGATTCCAGCCCCACTCAATGGCAGAAAGATGCCATTACTGTGAATACTGTTGATTAAACTGTAACACTGACAGGCAGTAAAAATGTAAAATGAATTATTAAAATACTAAACTAATTAGGATTTTCAAAGTAGTAATTATATGAGCAAGCAGAGAACTATACACAGCCTTCTTAAAGTCTGCTTTACTTCAGAGCTCACAAACAATAGATCAAATGCACACTTCCTTCTCTAGAATTTATAACTCTGTAAGAAAGCAAGCAACTCCCCAAAATGCAGTTTAGAAACACTCACTTCTTCAGCTCACTGACTGTGTTCATGCTAGCATAAAATAAAATGGTACCTTCAAAGAAATCAAAATCTTGCAAGTCATCAGGCAGCCGCGGCAGGACATCAGAGAAGTCCTCCTGATTCAATTCCAAGTCATGTGGAATGTCTGTGATTTCATTGGCGATATCATCAGGCAGCTCATCAGCACTCAGCTCTGGTGTGGAGGGGCTCCTGAACAGAAAGTAACATTAGTCCTTGCTGTTCAACTCTGGTTCCTCCAAAAGACAACTATGAATGCATATCCATCTAGAATGGATGTTTCCCCATATTTTTTAACCCCATTATCTCGGAAAAAATGCATTTAGGAAGTTTCTTCAGGAAGCTTAGCCTACTCACTAAGTACATAAGACGTGACATCAGGGTCAAAATATTTTATCCATCAAACCCAATCATTGCTCAAATCCAAAACGACCCACTCTGAAGTTTTTTTTCAACAGTCAATGGAGATGCAATTTCTAGCCCTGCTCCAGATGCTGATCAGCACAGCAAAATCACACCTTTCTCCAGTGCTCACGGACAACATTCAAGCCAACAGTGAGAAACTGGGGCAGGCCTACCACTGACCGTATGTGGGGTATCTCTACTGGCAGTGAGACACTGGCAGGCATGGTGAGGTTCCCTTGGGGCACTGCAGGAGGAATGGGTTTCTGGGGCCGGCGTGGGCCTCGCCTTCTCTTCTTCTTGTGTTTTTTGGTAAGTGCAGGTGGCTTCGTTTTTTTCCTGGGTTTCCTCTGCTGCTGGTGCTGAACTTTACGGGAGCTGTCTCCTCTCAAGAAATTATCCTTTGGGAGCAAAACAATAGCAATGAGAGCATATTGAGAACAAGCGTTACTTTCCTTGTTTTTTTCACCCTGGCCATTCCACAGACATTCACATGTAATGTAAGAGAGACTGCTAACTTATACCCAGGCATGGCTACAAAACTTGATCTGCTTCCTTCCCCATTGATCCCAATGGCAAAAATAACATAGACCAAATTATGAGGTATGCTAAACAGGAGATTTATCACACATGCAGTATCACTTTAAAAATTGTCATAGTAAAACCTAACTAAACTAGTGTAAAACTGTAACCCTTAGCAGCACCCTTGTATTAAAGACCAAACACTATTATGAGTTGGTGTTAACGCAGATAGGCTGCAGCAGCTGAAGCCAGGATCTTCAAGTGTCCGCTGCCATAACAGAGGGACAGCATTGAGGAAACAGAATTAATACTGTTGGACTCGGGTAAGGATGTGGGTAAACAACTATGGCCTCATTGCTTCTGAACAGCAATCACTGACCCATTAAAAAATAAATCAAACTATCATCACTCTTTAGTTGCCATCATACTGGGAATGGTAGAGGACTGTATTTGCTACAGAAGTAAACCTTGAGACATGAAAGATTGCCTAGAAGTGGGGGAAAATCCCCTACAAATCTGCGTAGCACAAATTCTCACATTTTAATCCAAAAAACTCCATAACTCACAACTATTGGAGAGCCTGGACAAAAGCAATAATAAAACCCACACAATAACCACACGACATATCAAAAAAACCCCAACAAACAAACAAACAAAGGCAGTTTTACACCTAATTGAAGTGAGACAAGACACCTTGAAGGAGGGACAAGACAGAAGCAGGTTTGTGAATTATCCTTAAGGTTTTTTTCTGGAAAATAGAAGGCATAAAAGGAGAGCAGAGGACATCAACTTAATTTCCGCATTCTCTGAACTTGAGGTAGGCCACTGATCCCCAAAGGAGGTTAAAGATAAATTCTAATAGTTACTGGAAGGTAAATAAAGTAGTAAACCCATTATCTGCATGCTTGTAATTGCTATCTACATTTCCTCTAGAAAATATTTTGGGCCCCATGTACTGAGACTACTTAAGCTGCAGACTTCTTAATACCATGCTCACACTCAGATCCAAGGACCAAGAATGAGGCTGAATAAAATGACCACGGGATCTCACAATGATCTTCCATTTCTCAGTTCAAGAGAAGAATTCAGTTTTTTTCCAGTGAAGGATTTTCTCATGCACACTTTATTATATCCTTAAAACTATGGAAAAGATTTTCACAACATACTTTATACTGGGAATGTTTGGCATGTTTTACCCTCTTAAGAAAAATAATAGGATACGAGCTCTTAAGTTCATAAACTTGCTAATTGTCAAGGAAGAGTGCATAGGAAGACTGGGATTAAAACTCCTGATCATCCCAATACATAAATAAATACGGTTTTGGCTTTGTACTTACCATTTTTTTGGCATGTTCTTCGCACAGAGGTGTCTGATGTGTAATGTCAAAAACTGGCACAGAGCACTGTTGACCATCTGCAAACTTGGCTGTGCAACTTGAGAAGAGCTGCTGAGAACGGTTCAATAAGATATCTGTGCATTTCTGCATCAGGAATAACACGAGACAACGATGGAGGAACGCCCTTTGATTTATCAATCTGATAAAGATCAGAGCCTTCCATTCTATCTGTCCATAGATGTTATTTTTAATGAGTACCTTAACTTTGCTATTCAAGTTCAAAGCTAGGTAAGGTTCAAACCCAACTTTTAAGGTGAAAAAACTGCATTCATGCAGAATCTCTAATGATTTTATTATATGCTGAGATAGTTTTATAAAAGCAGGCATTTCACTAATGAGTTCTTAGCGAAAAGAAGCCTTTTCCTGGAGTCTTAATCAATAGATCAATAGTAGCAGTTGGAACAGTGTAGTCAACAGGACTATTTCCTTACAGACTAATGACAATCCATACTGAAACATTAAAGAAAGAGTATTTCTTAATTCAATCTTTTAAGGTACATTCTTGGCATTTATCTTTAGAGCACAGAAAAAGAAGTTTCAAGATCCTTCCTGTTTCTCTGAAAAAAAGACGTGCAATCAGACAGAAAGGTCAAATAAATCCAAACGTAAGCTTGCTGAGATTTCCTTCAGAAAAAACCCTTGCAGGAGTGAAAATGCTTCTAGACTTACAGCAAATCAAACAGATACCTCATTGTGGTTTTTCCTAACAACATTAGAAGAACTCCTTCCATCTTCAACAGTTGTCAGACTTCAACATCACTATGTATGTTCATAAAATGTTAAAACACAAACACAGAAAAAAGGACAAAGAAAATGAAAAAACCGCTGAATGGTCCAGATAACACACTTGGACAGATGGGTCAGAACTAAGAGCCTTGTTCATTTTAGGAGAAACTCCTTCCACTGAGAAGAAAATGCAGAGAGAAAAAAATGGGCATAAATGCAAAATCACTACCCTTGACTTTTCTAGTTTACACACACCAACAAGCAAGACCACTTAAACTTAAAAAAAAGAAAAAATAAAACCATTTGAATCATGAGGCAAATCCCAAAGACAACTGCACACCATGGTGCTCTCTCATACAGAGAGTTTGAACTGCTCTGCAGACCGCTTTTAAGGGGCCTGCAAAAAGTCAACCAAGAAAAACAAGGCATCAGCAAAACAAAAAGATTGAAAAGGTGCTGCAGTCTGATAGTAACTAGAACAGATCAGCACTAGTCACTTAAAATACCAAAACCTTCAACAAAAAAAGTCACTTCAAAAAAAGCACCAATAATTCTTCAGCTAAAACCAAAAAACATTAAGTATTACATGTCATAAGTCTGTCTGTTTATAGTCTTCAGAACAAAACCTCACTTCTAATGTGCTCTCTTCTTTCTGTGATCTTTATCCATTGACTCTTAACGTCCTTTTCAAGATTTGCTTGAAATTTCAAGCACTGGGAATCCTTCCTCATCTAGACTATGAGGTTCTGTGACCCTTTCTATTCTGCTGCTTTGAACAATGCAAAGTATGATTTCCATCTTTCTAGTCAGTGTAAGCCATCTTTTTATACTATGTATAAAAATCTGTTCCAATAACACTGTCATAGGAAGATAGTCTATTGGAACCTACCAAGAACTGCATGAAAACCAAGAAGCTGAAAGCCACGTGGTTTGTACCAAGTCATCGTGAAAGATGATCATTTTTGTACAGGTTTCTAGCATCTACCAAACACAGATTACGAAGTAAAATGATGTTACTATAACAGATACCAGTGGCAAACTACGTATCTTCACTGTCTGTAGACCCAAATCACCCAGAAAAGTTAAAAGCAAAGTAGTTATGACACACTAACAAATAGGTATTTCTTTGTGAAAACTTATTTGTCAAGGTAAAAATCTAACAAACAAACAAAAAAACCTCTAAAACAGAACTTCCATGCTTGAATGCAACTCCCAAAGAGTTAAGAGGATACGCTGAAAACAGTGCCTGGTGAATGGAAGGGCCTTGTTAGTGCACTGCTCTCCCTTCGAAGTCCCGCTACAGGTTGTTGGTTCTGCATCTCTCTGCCTCACTTGGCTTGTGCTGAAAAGAAAACATAAAAGAATTTAGAGACAAAGCCCCAGTTTTGGGTGGTTACTTAACACAATTATTGCACTGAACGTGGCACAGTAGGATGGAAAATTATAACACACATGTGTGTGTCATGATCCAGATGGGGTGCACGCTACTACCAGACTCTACACAGGGACACAGAATAGATGTCAATGACAGGTGAAGGTGTGACTGCAGTAACAGGAGGATTCTTGTTTATTTCACAGGACCTTAATTGTAATGAGAGGTGCTGTGTGCTGCTACTGTGTAAATATTACAACACCCTGCAACAGAGCCAAGGGCAGCAGTAGTTGAGTGTCAGCACAGTGACTCTCAAAAGGAGGTCAATCTTTAGAATGCAATGTATTGGGTATGCCTATGTGGGCAGTCGGGTGCACTTCCAAGCCTGTTCATAAATCAAAACATGCCGAGCATCCCCAGAGCTTACATGCAAGCATGTGCTCAGACAAACTTAGACTGAGCTCTGGAGTGGCAGAGCCTGAGCGTGCTCAACATGGATAAAAGCTCTCCTTCATCAACGTGCTACAGCCCAATCCACCAGCAGGTGCCCAGAGCTGGGCACTCCCTCAGCACAGCCTCTATGCTTTGAGCCTGAGCTGCAAGCAGGCGACCAGGCAGCAGTGTGGACGAGCACCGCAAGTGTTACACAGCTCGCTTGGTGTTAGCCTGCACTCGAGGCATGTGTCACCTTCAGTGGAAAGCTGGCGATTCCAGGGCTGGCTTTCACCTCTGTACACGTTGTTTTCTAGGTTGACAGAAAGCTGTCTGTAGCCTGACTGTTTTTCTTCGGCCAGTTCTGTCATCAATTGCACTTTGACTGAGCAAAGTTTTAGTTAGCAGTATTACTCCTGAGAAAAATGTCATAACTGAAAAGACTCTTTGGTTACTTAAATTAACCAGAGCAGTGATGACAGGCACACCTGGCTTTGCTGGTCTACCCAAAAACAACATAATCTTTTTTTTGCGTAATAAAAGGCAAAAATAATGGGGGAAAAACCAGCAAGAGCTTGTCAGTTCTGGCGAAGTTTTGCTGTAGTTTAAGTTTGGAGAAATTTCCACAACTTTGTAAACTAGTAATGGACTTCTATGTTACACCTCTGAGCAGCTCTTCAGCACCACTCCACCTCCCCAACAATAAACCCTCCAACTGTCATGAACCACAGCCCACTGCCCAGGAACAAATGCATCCCATGAACCATACACTCAGTAACTTGCTCCAGTCTGCATCTCATATTTTATCCACAGTTGCACATCCTGTAAAGCCAAACTGCAACAGCAAAAGGATGCTGCTGATACCCCAGACATAACACCAGGGTTCAGACTTAGTCTGTTCCTGCACAAATATGAATCAACCAACTCTCCATATGCTGAGAGCTGGAGGGATGTTGACATTATCTAGAAAGAATTCCCACAGAAGGTAACCTTCAGAGTTGTTAGAAGATATTTATTTTGTTGCCAAGTTTCATTTAATGTTAGATTGAGTTAAATCTAACAAAAAGCATGAGATTAAATTTGATTTGCTGGGAAGATAATTAAGAGGAGGTACAGACTTTTCAAAGGAAGCTGTCTGAAAAACAAAATCTGAATTGAAGCAGTGAACTACAGACCAGACTGCACACCTTCTAAAGAAATGGGCATAGTAAAGTACCAGGTATTTGAAGGAAGCCAAAATACATAGATTAATTAGTAAGAATAAATTCTAGCAGGCCACTAATTTCTTTTGTGACATTTAAGAAATTGGGCCCAGATACTGCTGGACAAACAATCCATATTTTAAAACATAAAGCTGGAGAAGGCCTGTCTTCATGGAAGACTCTGTATGCCATGTTTATTTTACTCCACTGACAGGCATTCATGTGTCGTGGTTTTCCGCCTTGTGCATTACCACCTGTTTCAGCATTTCAGCTGCTGGATGCTCAGCCCAGCTCCACCCTGTCCCAACCCCAGGTTACTGCAGTCCCAAGGGAAGGTCTAACCTGGTACAAGCACATGTAGCTCTTCGGAGTTCCTGTATGAGCTGCCCAGCACGCTCCGGCTCTCTGCTGGCCGCCTGCAGCAAGGCTTTCCGGAGCGTGTGCCGGCATTTCTTCTGACGGGATTCTGCCCGCTCCAGGCGGCAGAGGTGCTTGTATTTCTGCTGAAAGTAAGTGCAAAGTCTGGTCACCCTGGAACTCCTGTCATCTGCATTGTCATCATCGGACCTGAAGGAAGGAAAATAAAAACAAATGGGCTTTAAGTTACTCCTTTTTTTTCCACGGAAGCTATTTTGTCACTTTAATAGAACTGTTAAGTTGGCATCCATCTTCTAGCCACACAAACATCCAAAGACTGAAATCAGGCAGGGATGCTTGAGAAATAGTAAGAGCAGGATCCCTTTTAAATTCTAAAGGTACTTGCCCTTCTTAGTATGTCATTATTAGAGATTACATCAATTTATCATCAAGTCTGACACATTTAAATGTCTAGAGCCTGCTGTTCAAAAAAATCTATACTGTTAACCTTTATTTACTGTAAATGTCTTGGCAAATGAGACAAACGCTTAAATCAAAGTGCAATTAATGGAGAGGACAAGGGTGGAGAACTGTGTAGTGGAAATTTATTGAGGAAAGGTCATGCTGGAAAAGATGGTCAAATTCTAACAAGTACCAAAACCGCTGACTTTTTCCAATTCCTTTTACTCTGCCAGGTGGTGTATTGCTTTCTAAACCAAATTACAAACTAACACAGCTAACAGGGGATACTGATTTCTCCTTGCTGCAGAGTTAAAGTTGAGTTACTGTAAGTAGTAAAGAAGAAATTCACATGCAACTCCAAAGGTAGTGATGGAAAAATCAGACCAGGTCTAAGCAATGACCAGATGAAGGACAAATCCAATTCTTTGTTTGCTTTAAAAAGCCTTTTCCCATTTATCTTGGCTTTCTGAACACCCAGGCACATATCAACAAGACCATCAAACCATGTCAACACATTCAGTTAAATGAAGTAAAAGTCATGAAACAGAAAATCATCACTGGAACTTGCTAAAACAGCAAGGTCCATGAAGTTACTCAGAAGTCGTCCACAACAAGCTCTAGTTTGCAGAACGAGTTTTTTGTTCACGAAGCAACAAAGTGCACGTGTTGAATCTAAGAAAAGTAGGCTTTGTTCAACTTTAAGTTTTTCCTATAGAACAGAGAGACTTTATGCTAACTTTCCTATCTGTAACACAAAGGGCGGGCAGGGGAAAGTAGAGAAACCCAAGCAAATGAAGCAAATCAAAAGCTCACAAGGTTCAGACTGCAGAGCTTGGCAAGACTGAATGAGCTGACCCCCAAACCTGCACACGGCAAAGCAGACCAGAACTAGCTGAAATAGAAGAGATCTGAAATGCCAGCCGTGATATTTACTAAATACAGTAAGATCCAGAAATGCAGACAGAAGACCTGTCCCTGAAAAGCCATACGACGAGGACCTACTTTCCTTTCTGGAAACTCTGACTCTATTTATATGCAGGCCAAATTTAAGAGGCTGCAGCCATCTCCACTAGGGCTGTCCACAAAAACTCTGCAGCAGCAAACACTGCCTTGACACAAATGCACGTTTTCATGAAGTTTTATGTAAAGTAAACCGTTCCATGTATTTTGTTTGTTAAATCAGATTATTATTATTATTTTCTAGAAGCATAAATTACAAGTAATTAACCTATGCAATTACATGCTTTGCAGCAAATACAACCTGCTAAAAATATTTAACATATGTAATGTTTAAAATATTTTTACACTGAAAATTAAAAGAAAATACACTTTTGAGATCTCTTAGGAAAGAATGTTTACTGGGAAAAACTACCTGTTTAGAAAAAATTAATTGTGGGGTATTTAATATAGATTTCCCTTCTTCCAATGTATTAATAAAAAACAGGAATACATGAATGGCATATATATTTATAGATAGGTTTAACATCTGTAGATATTTAATTACTGCTCTGGGCTAAGACTTTTAAACAAAGTTGCAGATATACTGATTTAATTTTATATATGGTTAAAAATTAGAAAATACTTTTTCTTTGGGGGAAAAAAGAAGTGGAAACAGCATTTTTTAATGTAAATTTCTCTATATTTAAGACTTTTTACTTCCCTCACATTGAAAGAGTCAGAAAAAAAGTCACTGTACACTGAAATATTTTTGAAATGCAGTTTATGAAAACCTTTTTAAAAAGTAGATGAAGAAGTAAAAAGAAATCATGCCTGCAGTGGGCAAGGGCTTATTTTGAGCCAAATAGTTTCTAAAAACCTATTCAGAATTTCGTTTTCAGGCCAGTAAGATTAACCAAAATGTTTATATGTTCAGAGAAACCTAAAAATACCAAAATAAAACCTATTTTTTCAGTTGTCAAGTACTGAAAACGAAAGGTACTTTTATTATTGTCCTTTCATAAACAAGATTACCAACTTCTATTTAGTTTATTGTCTTAAACTGCATACAGAGCTTCTGAAGTTCAACTTAATGCGTGGCATTTAATTTTTAAAAAGATTTCGGAAAGTGCACGCAAGCCATTTGATAGTCCAAAATGGTTCTTCCCTTTTAGATTGTCATGTGTGAACATCAGGGGAATTATTGCTGAGTGTTCATGAAGAAAACAAAGACAGCACAAAGCAGCAGAAAGGAAGAGCAAAAGGGTAGCACGAGCAGTCAGGCACCACCAGGGAACAAGGAGAACATTCTCTCTATTCTGAGATACCCAAACAACTATACTTCAAATCCCTCCTTACAGAGAAGTTTTGAAGAACCTTCCCTTCTTTCTTTTAGTTATTCTAGTTAATGTGAGTTATTAAATCCGACTTTGACAATACAGTGTTGATATCTGCTCCTTTGAGTGGGGTAGCATGAGGAGGGACTCACACTCCTTTTTCAAACTTGCTACTTGAAACGCTTGCTTTATCTATATTTCAGTGTACAAAGTGAAAAACCACTTTGTTATAAAGTCACTTGTTTTCCAGTACCTTCCAAGCTCCCAAACCCAGAAATCAAAGAATCTAGGGGAAAGCTTCACTAATCTGCAGCAGGGAACAGCCCATGCTTTCTCTCCAAACTGCTGCTCCCATAAGGGATTCCTCCCACCTCAGTAGCCTTCTCTGCCAGCCACCCAGCCTGCACTGTGCCCACTACCAAGTCCTGTGCTACTATTTGAACTCAGACATTTGTGCCTGCCTCAAAGGCACTGCACCCCAGAATCCTGGGAGCACAGGAACACGATTTTTCAAAATTAAAGCACAGAATAATAAAAGCAAACATTTGGCCTGCATTTCCACAGGTGATTGCAACAATATGAATTTTACAGATTAAAAGGCCAGAAGGCAAGTGAACCAAAAAAATATATTAGTGTTTTCGTGGTTTAACCCCATCCAGCAGCTAAGTACCAGGCAGCTGTGTCCTCACTCTCCCTCCAGTGGGATGGGGAGGGGAATCAGGAAAAAAAATCTTGTGGGTTGAACTAAGAACAGTTTAATAATGGAAACAAAGTAAAATATACTGCTACTATTTACTGTAATTGGGGGGGGAAAAAAAAGAAAACCCAAGAAAAACAAGTGATGTCCTATACTACTGCTCATCACCCACTGAACGATGCCCAGCCCACCCCTGAGCAGTGCTCAGCTCCTCCCTGACAACTCCCCCCAGTTTATACACTGGTCATGATGTATGGAGTATCCCTCTGGGCAGTTCAGGTCAGCTGTACCAGCTGTGCTCCCTCACTGCATCTCTGCACTCCCTCCAGTGCACCTCCTCTCTGGCAGATCATGGTAAACCAAAGTGTCCTTGACTTAGGGTAAGCACTACCTAGCAACAATCAATCCATCAGAGTGTTATCAACATTATTCTCATACTAAACCCAAAACACAGCACTGTATCAGCTAGTAAGACAAAAACAAGCACTATCCCAGCTAACACCAGACACTGTTAAGACATTAACTTTAAACGAATCTCTGGAATTTCCGAGAGTTTAAGAGCAGCTGGAGTGTCACACAAGAAGTTCAACTGAAAGTTGGAGGATTCCCCCCACAATCACATAAGCAGAAATGCTGAGAACCAGCTGTCCAGGAAAGCAGAAATTAACTGTTCACTTTCTTTCAATAGTCTATTCTGAGAAGCATCCCTTCCACTGTCTTCCAGGAAGCTGAATGGAAAAGGACAGAATGAAGTTAGCTGGTGGGACCACAAGCTCAGACACAAATGAAGAGACAAAAAATAGCCTTCATTTTACTGTAAAAAACAGCAGAAAGTAAAAGTTTTAAGAAACAATCTCCATTGGTTTTCTGGTAAAATAAGTCTCCAAAATTCAGAGCTGTAACAAGTCACTGGCTGACTAAGTTAGGAGCCACAAGTCTGCACTGCCAGATTAGCAAGACAGAGTTATTTTGACAAATCAAATCTCCCCAGACATAGTTTAAACTAATTCATCACCTTCAGCAGCAGACAGATCACACTGCAGAAGTGTCAAAGTGAAACATTTCAGGTAATAAAAACCTCTACAGAAGCTTGCAGAATAGGAATTAAAGTTTTAGAAGGCTTACATCAAGTGAATGTTTATCCATAATCAAAATTAGTAAAGTTGTTGAATGACTAACACCGGGCAGGCTGATGGAAGTACAAAAGCAGCCAGTAGCATACAAAATTTTATCCATCATGATTAGTTAAGACAGCATTTAACTGAGGTGCACAAAATGCTAGAATGGAACAGAAAATGTCAAGACAAGGTACTATTTTTCACTCAGTATGTGAAAAGAGTAGGAAGAATCCAAAGGAAGTTAAGACAAATAGAAGACAAAACACACAGAGATGACCTTTATAAGTTGACAAAAAAATAGGGATATATGGAAGAATAAAATCAAATGTCAGAGAGAGAATAGTGTAAGGGAAGTTATTTAATAGATATATCTGCTGTGAAAAAATATGTATGATTTAAAATTCTGAAGTCTGTTCATGTTTTCCCAAAAGAGTTTATTTAAAAGCTGTCTTTTAAGCTAAAACTGTTTGTGAAAGCTCATTCTCTGACTGCTGATGCCCTAAAAAACTATGGTCATTCATAACAAAAAAAAACCCCTTTATTTTATAAAAGAAAAGCCCACACACTGTTTATTAGCTTTGTTTCACTGAAGACTCTTAGTATCTAGCATCCTGGGGTGTGTCCTGATGACAGATACAGCTTTGTTGTTCACTTTGAGGACAATCTTTAGAGAAGGCAAGAAGTTTTAGTAAGTTTCAGAATTTCCATGTAATAACAAAATAAACTTTCATTAACACCATTATTCTAAGTGTTATATTTAAAAATTAAACGAATGGGGGAAAGTTGTAATACCAAAAGGCCAGTTGCATAGTAAATGAGAATCATGTTATAGAAATTATAATCAAATTCTATTGAGACTCAAATTTCTTTGTTAAAAACATTCTTTGTTACAATACTATGCTCAGGATGCTTTGTTTTAACTTTGCACCTTAAAATTTACATTAATAGACATATATTATTATATCCTGCTGTAAGTTCAGATTCATGGTTTAGCAGTATATAGAGAACATCATAAGCCTTTCTGCACCAGCAGCTAATACCTGCTCCGCTTATCCCTTTGATCACATCACTTCCTTTCAATGCTCACAAGTATTGACAGAGGGTTATTCAACACTTAATTAAGAAAAGAAATACCATGGCCTTTAAAAAAACACATTAAAACAATAGCCTGCATAAATACTATAAGGATTAATGAGTGAAATGTAGCAAGTTTACTAACAAAGTTATTCACAAACAGTAGGAAAGACAGGAAACCATACCAACTCCATTTGGTTATAATTCAGGACCTCCACTCAGCAAGGCACACAGGTTAATTAATAAATCCCACTAAACTCAGTTAAATTTAGACAAACAAGCTTAAATCCTTTCCTGATGCATCCTTCTGATAGCAGACTGCACAAAGGTCTCTAAGTTAGCTGAAAACTGGGACAGAAGGCAACAAGCTGTTTCATAGCTCTTACAAACAAATGAGTTCAAACAATCCTTTGTTTCAGCAAAGCACTTGAACAAGTGCTTAGGTTCCACTGACTCCACTTGAAGTGAAACTCACATTGACATGATTTATTCCATCAAGGCCAGCATGAATACTAAAGAATGATACTCACTCAGGTCTCTCATAGCCGAGGCTTTCTCTGATGGACCATGCAACCTGGTAAGGGGAGGTTTGCTCTGAATCCTCCAACTCTTCTCCACTGTCTTCAGACCAATCCAGCCCTAAGGGAATTGAAAACATGAAAGCTGGATGAAAAGAGTATCCACCTTATATAAGCCTCTGGGCAACCTGTGGCATAAGAGGTGAACATGTAGTATAGTTACAAGCATAATTATGTTTGATTAAATTATATAATATTCTCAATTACACAGGAAAAGTTACAGTAGCGGCTCCATTGCAACGTGAAAATAGCATGCACTGATTTTTGTCATAAGCAAGAGTTGGTTTTTTTTAAATCCTTACTGACTTCTTTATCCATAAACAGAGGAAGAAAAACCACCAGCTTTCTTACCCACAGAAAAATATCACAGTTTTCATAACCAAGCACACGGGAACTTCAGAGACAAGGTAAGGGAGAAGTCCCTGTCACAAAGAACTGATAAATTTTAATACTATATGATCTAAATAGGCCAATTTCATTTCTGTTTATATTCTGACCCCTTCACTGTGCCCTAACACAGAGAAGAATACGAAAATCACAAGACACAGCATCACAGACAGAGACAGATACACAGCTACACAGGGTGTTCCTCTGCTCAGTTCCTGTCACTGCCGGCCAAATGCATGAAGAGAGAGTTAAAGGGAGAGACACAAACACTCCTGCACTTTTACCAAGCAGCACGTTTTCATTTAATGATGATGCAGTATTGTGTGCACCAGCAGCCTCAGTTAGTCAATCCACACACAACTGTTGAGCATGACAACCAGAAAGAGGCCAGTAAGTTCTCAGGTGAAACATTTTGTCTGGAACTTCATCTTTCACAGCTTTTCCTACCCTCTCTCCCACATCCAGTGAAATTCTTGCCACTTTCTTGCAGCAGGTGGGATAAAATTCCACTGCTGCATTTGCAAGTCAGCATTTTTTCTTTTTCACTTTCTTCTGTGCTCCTTGAAAATGGAGCAGCAGTTGGGATAAGAGTTAGGGAGCATTTTATTTTTGTTAAAAATAAACTAAACAACTATATCTGAGATGATTCTAAAGTCAGATGCTTGAATTTGGGAAATGCATCAGTACTTGGTCACCTGCTTTCACAGTTAGAGACACACACACCTATGCTTGGAATGTAATCGTTAGGAGCATCTTCATCATATAGAAGCAACACTTTAACATGAACCACAAACATCAGAAAACAAATTTTTCAGGAACTTCAGTGTCCTTTTATTTTTTAAGACATGCATTTGAACAAAATTAAGACATATTAAGAAATTAAATGAGATGTCAGAATTACACTTTCAAGGTAAGTGGTTCTTTTTCCTCATGCCCCTTTCATAAAGGAATGAAAAAACAACTTAATCATCATTTGATAAAGATGTCCACAACTGACAACCATGTAACAAATTGTTTACCCAAAGTTTAAAAACAAAATCAGAAGTTGTGTTGTTTTGCTTCTAATGGGCACTGCAGAAATGAAGGAATAAAATCTAATCCAGATTCACTATACTGACACTGAAGACTGCAGTTACATTAATATCCAACTACACAGCTCTGATGTAGGTACACATAAAAATGGCTTAATCTTTTAAAGATTCTGTGCAGTCATCTCTACTGCTAATCTATCATAAAAAAGAAATCCTGAAGTTCTCTGAACTGGCATAACTAGTCTTTAATATTAAAACATATAATGAATAAAAAACAAATATATTTTCCACTCTCATGTAACTTATATGTGAATTCTTTTACTTTGCCAAATATAAACTGTTCTAAATGCATATACACACAGTTATGCATCTGCATAACTGTACATGTATAGGTCTAATTGGTTTTTTTACTATGCCTCTTTTTTAGTAAAATGTATTCTCTTCACCACTTGAGAATGTAAAACATTAAATACAGAAAAGATCTTTCTACAGTCTTTCAATCACAGGTCACTTTCAAAGCTATTGGGGTCTGTAACACTCAGAAAAACCTCTGGTGTTGCCATTCCTCTAAAGACCTGCATTATATATAGGACCATCAAAGCTGTTTTCTGAAGAACAACATCCTTTGGAGGCATGCTATGGGTATGCTAATTATCTTCTGAACAAATAGTCAAGCTATCCCATGAGTGCCAAAGGGCATATCTTAACAGCAAATTAAGGAAAGGTTAATTGAAATAGCAAAAATTACAGATGTTTCCAATTAAATAAGACACTATATGAAGAATGTCTAGATTTATTTGAAGTCTTTTTTTTAAAAAACATCATAAATAGTGTTCCTGCTCTAATATCACACACTGACTCACATTTCCATTTCCCTTTTAGTATTTTACTTGTTAGAAAAGTACAATCTAAAACTAAGCCAAAAAGTAACTTTGGTGGGTGAGGAAGACAAAAAGGGCAGATAGGTGTGCCTAGGTCTGTATTCACCATCAGACAAATAAACCACAAGGTCAGTTGCCTTTTCAAAGCCTCACAGAGCACTACTACCATACCAGCAAGGTGGTTGTATTTGCTTACACTTTCACAAGCAGCTACTGAATTATGGTTTCTAGATAATAAGTAAGGGTAAGACTATTCCTGCACTGATAGGTGGACAAGACTCCTCCCTCCAATTACCTTCTGCAACAGTGATGCTCTCCTACAGTGGTCTTTTTTGTTCATCCACTTTCTATAAACTAATAGGCCCAGTCAAGAAAAATTCTCATGTGCTATAATTTTCCAATCAAGTCAGCTGGAAATTTGGATTGCAGAGAATGACAGGTCAAATCTCCAAACTTTTACTTGCATTCATTTTGTAATGTGCACATGTCACACATCTAATATTTAATCTAACTTTGTCCACTCATGTAGGTACAGCTAGTGTCACCTTTACTACTTGAGTTGCAAACCTTCTATATGATGTCTCTATCATCCAAGCAATGTTTTCTACACCTCAGTTTCATTTCTCAAATGGCTAACAGAACATCAAGAATAAAAACCAACCAAAATGCCATAAACCATATATGATGGATGCAGGCATTCCCTTCATAGAGAACAGAGCTAAAGAAAACGCCAAGATTACCTAGCTCAAGGTTATTTTGTGAGGACCGCACACGAACGCAGGACAGGGCTAGAAGACCTTCCCCTTTTTTGGTTTTAGGTTAAAAAATAAGGCTGCAGTGCCTCTATTATCTGCTCACCTAAATGAGGAAACAGATCAGTGTCCAGCTGCTGTTTTCGAGTGCACAGTTTCACCAGTCTCTGTAGCCGGCTCATGCAGGACGAGTGCGGAGAGAAGGCTGTGGCTTTCATGAGGACCCGATCAGTCCTTGGTGGGTCCGTGACAGGAGCCCTGGCGGGTGGCAGGAGAGGCAGAGGTCTCTTGTTAGACAACTGCCGGGCTTGTGCTATAGTGTGTGTGGTGGGTGCCACTCCCTGCATTGGTAGGCTGGTGTTCAGAGGTTGAGGTGACTTGCAGACGATGCCCTGCGGTAGCCCTGTCGGCTTTAACGAAGCTGATGAAGGTGGCAGATGGGAGTGCTGCTGCTGCAGAGGCTGCTGCTGCAAAGGTGCAGGAATGGGGCTAAAGTGCTCTTGGCGAACTTTTAAAATCTCTGTCTCTCTCTGGCGCTGCCGGTTTTGAGCCAACTTGCTCTGCAACTTTTTCCTCACTGTTGCCCCTTTCTTTAGGTCATCATCCTCCTCATTGAAAGCAAAGGGGTCTTCTAATTCTGCCTCCAGGTAGTGGAGAGGAAGCCTTGCCCCTGGAGGGGAGAGGGACATCCCATCCAGTCCATTGGGCATCTTCAAGGCCAGGGTGGGCACTGTCAGACTGAAGGCCATAGCATCCATCTGATGCCTGACCTTCACCTCCTCTATGGGATCATTCTTTTTCTTCCTCTCCTTTTTCGGTATAAAGCCAAGTACCTGCAGGTGGCTGTTGCAGTACCTTTGAAAAATAAAAGCAGTCAATTATTAACTAAACTCCTATAAGTAAAATAGGAAGAAAAGACATCACTTAAAGGAAACCCAAACACACATCTCAAGCAAATATAAATCGAAACACAAGAGGTTTTATAAGAAGTGTACACAACTGCTTCTAATAAAACAGGTAACTGTGGTGCTCCCAACATGTAACAGAAAACAAAAGGTTATACAAGGGACAATCTCTAATCTCAAGATATAAAAACTCTTCATTCATTAGTCATAGGAGATTCACATACAATCATTCAAAATCTTAACTCTCTAATAGGGTGAATACTCACAAAACAAAGTGAACAAAACAAATGGACTGTCTGATACATAAAACATTAAGAACTTAAGCCATTAACCAGTCATTTCAAAAGCTCCCAAGAAATATTACATTGAAGACTACTTCCTTTCATTTGCCTGTTTGTTCAGTGGAAATAGTTAACATTTTCATTAATGCACACATTATTATTATGAATTCCACTGTAGTAGGGAGAGCAGTTTCTTATAAGGACAATCTCACTAGATATCTGCTGCAAAGGGTCATTATTTGCAAATAAAAATCTAGCTATAAAAACAAATTCTCTCCTGCTAGAAAATATTTACACAATGCCAAGAATATGTATACATACAATCTACAAACATAAATTTTAAGTTCTAATATGAAAGACTTTCGAAGCCATGTTATTAAAAAAAGTTTTTGAGAATTTATCATGGAAGTTTAAAAAAAAATCACAATTTATGTCCACAGATAACATAATAAAAAGTAAAAAATTAACCTTTATCTGATTAAAACAAGCAGGTGATAGAAATGTAGGAATCGTGATCTGATTCTTTTCCTGTTTCCCACAGACAGGTAGAATGCTACCAGCCATCAGAATTCTGCCCCTGCAGAATCCCATCTATAACCTGCAGCTTATAGATGAAAACAAAGATATAAGGGAAAAGTGATGTCTACATCCAAGTATTTATGAATAAGAAAATAGCCATGAAGGTATTCTTTAAAATCTGATCAGTACAAACCTGAGAAAAGTAAGTTTTGTTGAACAAATAGGTTAAAATTAATTTATTCCTGGTCTTTATGGAGAAAAAAAAAAGCCCAAACCAAACATCACAAAAGGTTTAACACTTCAGCTTAGTGACTTTCAAACTGTTGGCCCATCTCTAAAGAAGCAATGTGTGAGAAGCTTCTAAAGAGTCCTTAAAAGGTAAAAAAGAGAAATCAAATTCATATATGCTCTTTAATGACCTCCATATACACAGCCTCTTGAGGGTTCCACATCATAAGGATTCACAAATCAGAAAAGTCTGAAAAGTACTGCTACTTATTACTGTCTAAATAATTTCTTGATTATATTATGTTGTAAGTAATAAATAAAGCTAGATGAGGCAAGCTGAAAGCCAGCAATTTGTGGAGTCCTTATTAGAACACACCAGAATACTGTAAATTCATACTGAGAGACACATTTCTAAAAATAAAATTATATAATGAGGGCTCAATAAAGCTTCCCTTAAAGTCAACAAGCACTGTTTCCATGTTTAAAATTATGCACTTTTAAAATATTTTGTTTGAACAAGACTGGTATCAGTTACAACAGCACTTTTAGTATGACAGGAGAAAAAAAAACAATAGACAAAACAAACACCAGGGAATTCTTTTCCCTCTTATGCCAATAAAAAGTGTTTTGCTCAATGTGAATGCTTCTCTTATATTGTTCAAAACTTAAATATTGTCATCATGTGCATTTGCTGATGTGAAACTGGATAGTCTGTTTTCATTGTACAAACAAGAAAAAAATAGAAAAGGTGAATAAAGCTATGAAAAGGTAATAAGCTTGCTAACATTCTCTGAGTTTTAGGCTATTCAGGCTTTGGCTTGTTCATTTAACTCTAATACAATAATTTTTATATGGCAGAGAATAAAGCTTTGGCTCTTAAACTGACCATACTGCACCACTGAAAGCTAACTGGACACAAACCCATAGATGTCAGGCTACAACACACAGATCACATGCACTTGCAGACTCCAGTATACAACGACTTGGCTCTGTGCTTTAAGGCTCTATTAACTCTCTGTCTTCCACCATAACTGACATGGGAACATCTTGGACTAACAGGAGCAGGAAGAAGCCAGGAAGAGCACTTCAGTCTTCTCTAGGTAAAGAAGACTACACACAAGCAGTTTTGGCTAGGCTAGGCTAGTAGATTAGCACCAACTCAACCTTGACCTTGTCAGGCTCTAGCTGGTCCCACACAGAGCCAGGGGGGCAAGCACACCCAGTTCCCCATCCTTCAGTTTCCAGGATGGCTTTTTAGTTGGCCCTGGACCCAACTGGCTCTGACTTTATCCAGTACTGCAGAGTCTGCATTAATAGTTCATGTTCCATGGAAGTCAGATTACTGGGAAGACTAGTACAGCACCTGCAAGTAGCACAATGCTTTTCACATAGCTCTGAGCATGAAACCCATTAGAGTCAAGCTGGGCCTATAAGAGCCAATTCTGATATGCCTGTCTTAGTGGCTGAGTTTGTCACCTCTGTAACCTGTCTGTGAGTTATTCTCAGCTGACAGTATCATGTTGAGTATCTAATACAATTTTTTGTCCCCTTCCCTACTCAGTGGCAAAAGTATTTTTTCTGTGCAAGTAAGATCAAGTGAAGTCCACACAAACGGTAAGAGCAGTGGGTTGATATCCATTAAAATTATCAAAATGTGAAGCACACAAAATGTGATGGGCTCTGAAGGCTTCAGCTGGACAGTTTCCCTCATCCACTAGGAGGACAAGAATTCAGACCGTGAGTTTTTCTACCTACAGTTGCATTCTGCTTCTCAGTATATCCCAGACTGGTATCGATTTCCATCACTTACTTAAGATTTAATAAACTGGGGAACAGCTTGCATATTAACAAAAAAGATTGTCTTGAAAGAGGAGATTTAAAATGGTGTTTAACCCAACTAAATTGTAATAACCCTGTATTTAAAAATTAAGTTGAACTTCACTATGTATGTCTGTATTTGGCTAAGAAAGAATTAGGAGATGTATTCAGAGAAAATACAAATACAAAACCTATGTCTGTATCTTCTCATATATATGTTCTTTAAAAAAACAAGACAGTGAGTAGAGAAACTAGACTTCAAATAAGGCATTGAAGTCACACTATTAATAGATCTAATTTGTAGATCTATTAATGTTAACAGTTAATAAGAAATCTAATAATATGGCACAATATTAAACATCTTTGTGGCTGGTAGCATCTCATTTGTCAGGGTCAAGTGATAATTCTTTTTAATTATCTGTGGACAGACTATGAAGCTTTTGGCATATAATGCATGCATCTTCTTGACTTTTTTTTTATAATCTTTAAAAGTATAAAAAGAAGATAGCTGTCAGAGCATCATACAGCCTGCTTCTGATCATGTACAGTTACATGTGTAAAACTGTGACAAAATGACCATCTGACAGTAATTTTGTATACAAAAAATTAAAAGCTATGAGTGAAGAACTCAGACACAGCAAACATCTTTATATTGAACGGAGTGTGAAGAAAGTCTCCTAAGAAACAGATACAGGTTTGCCTGCCAAAAAAAAAAGTTCAGAGGAGCCACAGTCTTATCACTAGCATTCATTAAATTTTATTGTTAAAACTAAACTCTGCCCTGAGAAGCAGTCTTTTAAAATATTCTTTCAAACTATCACATCCTCTCATTTGAAATTAAAAGTTTATTTTCTCCTTCAGACACCTGCTGTCCTCTTCAAGTACTGTAATGTGACACTCGACATGCAATTGAATTATTCTAATATAACATACACCAGATGTCATGACCACACTTCACTTTAACTTGAGAAAAATCAAAAAGAACAAAGTGTGAACTCAATTCAAGGTGTAAAGAAAAATCGCAAAATTCCATGGGAACATATGAGACATAAAGAAGTGTCATTAAGTACTATTACTTCTATTGTTTTCAAGTATGACCCCTGGTAAACAGCAACTCTGGCTCAGTCAGCTCTTGCATCTGAAATTACAGCATACCATTTGTGCTAACCATTTCCATGATCATTCCTGCGAGCTTATTTCCAAAGAGCCTCAATTGTACAGTAGCAAAGAAACACTCACCGACTGTCAAATTACAGCTTAAAGTTATTCATCTTGTGCCATTTGAGCATTTGCCCTACAGCTTTTGACAAACATTCATGGTTTTTTTTCTCACTTCATCAGTCTCCTCAACTGAAATGGCAGGTGAAGTGCAAGTTAATTTAGAGCACAGTCCAACTGTTGTTTCAGACAAGAGAGGGAGCTGTGAGCTGAGAAGGAAGTTATATGTAGGGCACAGTGGGAACACTGCTAATAATGCAAAAGGTTAGTGAATGGCAGCTAATAATGTGAAAGGTCAGTGAATAGTAGTTTGACTTTTTTTGGCATATTTTGTTTATATTTTAGGTTTAAAAAGCATTTCTAGTTGAACAAGCCTCACATAGTTAACACAGACATTAATTAAATACTGTATTACTGGCAAACCCTGCAATGACAACTCCAAAGAAATAAAGTCATATATAGCTGTCAGACAAGATTAGACAAATTCTGCTATTTCAGCCCCAGAAGCACCAATGAGACTAGTGTTCAGGAAACCTTAAAGAGCAAGGAAGAATGCCCTTGTGGCTACAGTATGGGCTGCAATTCAGGAAATCTAGTTTGAATTCCAGCTCTCAACAACTTCAAGCACTATCTCTTGCAAGGCATTTAATACCTGGACACCTTGGGCATCTTCATTTGGGCAAGGAGGGTGAGAGAAAGGAGGGAAGCAAAGAAGAAAGGGAGTGGACAGCACTTTCCCAGCTGGCTCATCTGTTATCAAGTAATATTTATTTTATTCCAGTAATACAACACTACAGATTGGTACCAAATCACAAACACTGAATTGTAATTCTGGATTTGTCTCTATCTGTCACTGTTCCATGTGCCCAGAAGATATGCATTTTCAACTATTTGTCCTGAAAAAGCAGATGGAAGTGTGCTTTTGGCACTCCTGGCTAAACAAGCAGGCCTTTTTAAGAGCAGGTACTGTGACTGACAAAGCAAATTAGTCAGAACAGCTGATATTGTGGTTTGATCCACAGTTTATGGTGAATTTGAGAAAAGCAATGAACTCTCTCATAAACTTCCTCGGGACTAAGTTACTGCCCCCCTTCCGAGTTACTTGACTCCTACAGAAAATAAAATAAAGTTTACTGGTCTTAAAACAAAATCCTCAAAGGAACATCCTGGAATACAATTCACTCAAGCCAGTTCCACCCTCATCCTGAAGCCAGGCAGCGACTTCAAAGAAAACTCGTGCCAACATCCCAGGCACTTCCCACTTTGCAGAGAGATAACCACAACTCACCTACGGTCCTCAGATTTGGGGATAGGGTTGGTGCAGCGTTGGCTGTTATACTTGGCCACATATTCACATTGCTTGAAGGGGGCAGTCTTGTCCTCCAGAACGTGTCTGATACAGAAGGCGTAGCCGTTAAGTCGCCTCTGCTTGCACAGTTTGGGGCTATATGAGCACAAGGGCTTATTGTCAACCTCAGAGAAGTGTATGTGTTTGCCTTCATACATCACGTGACTCTATTCCTTGTGAACATCAGCTGAAAGAACCAAAACGTTAAGACAAATCACGTAAGGAAAGAAGAAATGCATTCAGTTCTAGACTGCATGTTCCATTTTGGCAGGAAAGAAGGACCCAAAACAATACCTGATTTTAAATCTTCTGTACCATATCAATGTCAAGAGAGAGCCCCAAGGACACAACTATCCTGGAATGATGATGAACCAAGATGAAGCAGATTGTCTAAGGAAAATATCAAAAAGGTCAACGTCAGTCAGAGTAAAACACGTATTACTAGTGCTCAGTAAGTAAGCAGGCAGATGTAGTCACCAAACCTGTGGTTCAGCTAGCATCCAATAAGCCAAATCCACTAGCCCAACAGTTTTCAGTTAGTAGTTACAGATCTTTGGAAAACTGGGGGAAATTACTGGGGAAAAGAAAACTCTACTGCCATCACACTTAAACCTCCTAAACAAAACTTCACTCATCTACCAGAAAGTGATTAGAAGCTACAAGTTGAAAAAGGTTAAATGTCAGATCACTTGCTTTCAGAAATCAAGTTGAAAGATGATCAACCCATTTGATTGCAGAGGTTTTACTTCAAGTATCTATACTTACAAAACCACCAGTGACTGTTTTTACTCTGCAAAATTATTTAATCAGTCAGTGTAACAAAGTTTTCTTTTTAAAAAAAGCTTCCTTTACCATATTTGATGATCAGTCTCTAGTTCTTGTATCTGCTCACAGTTTCTGCAAGCATCAATATGCAGTCCTTCCTGAGGTCATCACAGTTCCTTAGTGCTTGTCCTACCTCACTGCACTTATTTTAGGGAAAGCAGGTATTAATATCAGAGGCTGTATCCCCATCAATGCCAGGAGGGCAGAAACGACCACAAGAGGCTGGGGGTTTTCCCCCCTAAAATACACTCCTACAGTGCAAATCCATGCAATCATAAGGTACTTTTTCAGTTCCTAACACTATGGAGGTCTTCAGCAATCATATTTTTTAAAAAAAACCACCCAAACAAACAAAACACCCAAACCATCTCAAAGTAGCTCCAAATAAAATTAACGTTATATATATTCTGCAGCTACTCTGCTACACTAAGCTTAAGGCAGCTTTTATTCAGAAAGGCCATCCTGAAGCACTGGAATGAACTCTTTTAAACCTGGTGTATTCAGTACTCAGTTCAGTTTCATATATGTTATACACCAAGGAAAGGAATGTTCATAGAAGGGATATTCAGGAAATACATAATAAATTAGAGGCATGTGACAAATGTACAGAATACCATGTCAGTGAACTCACTTGTTCCCAAGGCCCAAAATGGCAAGAACATGATTGGAAGGAGGAAGCCTACACAGACTTTGTAGGAAAGATGTACTTTCCTCTTGTAAAGGTACAAGCCTTCACCTTCTGCTGTATAAAAGTGCCTTGAGAAAATGACAAGCACAATGGCTCTGGGGGATCTAGAAAAGCAACTTTAAGTCACTAGGGCAAAACAAAACACCCTATCACACATCTAAGAGTAAACTGCATAAAACTGGCCTTTCATTAGCACATATCTAGCTGTAGAAGCAGAAGGACGCTTTAAGATTTAGAAACATGCTAAAAAATTCTTGAAAGAGCTGTATACACACATGTGCAGTATATAAGGCATAAAGAATGGAGACATGGGCTACAAAATTTAACTACCACAAGTGACCTGATTTATCATTTCAGACAATAATGAGGATAACTTTGTATTTCCTCTTGATACACATTTTCCCTTTCCAAGCACACATGCAAGCATGCACCCCAGAGGCAGGGGCCTTCTGCTTTGTTTACACCAGGTAGCCACAACACAAGCACAGACACCTAGTCCAGTTCCAATCACCCTTCCCAGTTTTTCTCAATGCATGGAAGCACATACTATACATATTTGAAACCGATCACTGGAGTATGTCTTTCCACAACACATCAGTCAAGAACAAGAAAGCTCATTATTGACTGTGCCCTTCAAAAATACAGAATGGGAAGAGGGAACTCTCTCTTCTTTAGCATGTTAAGGACAAAATAATCCTTTCAGACACCTGTGCTTGGGCAGGTACTGACCATACACTTCAGTATTATTCAGCAATGACATCAATGAAAAACATAAATGCTATGGGGACATGACCCATACAGGAGTTGCAATCCGGGTTTGGAACCCATATGATTGAGACAGACTTCTTCATTACTATGACAGCAAAAGTAATCAAATGAGTCTTAACTAATTGCATCTCACACATGTAACAATGCTGACAGAAAGCCTTTTGCTCTGGAGTTTGCTTCTCTCAATAGGTAACCAAAGCTTGTATTTGGTGGCATACCGGACAGGATGTAAAACTTGAAAGACCAAGTGCATCTTGCAGCTGGGGTGATTCACATGCTGCTCTCTATTTCTTTCTGGTTTATTTACAACCTTCATTCAAGCCACTACTATCATGCTTTGCGGAGTTTCTGACAGATCAATGACCTTCTCACTTTCACACAACCCAGTAATATTTCTTTTCTGAAGCTTATCAAGCAATCAGACCAAAGAAAAAGAGTTCCTCAGGATGGTTCCAAAGTAAACAGCAAAAAATGCATACCTTGTGCGCCTCTGTTAAGCTTCTGTAAAGAAAGTGCTCCACAGTTCCCAGCCACTATAATCCTAGATTTATTCTTGTGGCTGCAGTCTTAATTTTGGATTTAACTCATAATTATGTCTTATTTTTGCATTTAACTTGACTGTGTTAGGGCAGGCATGGTATTTTACTTCTTACTTGTCTGAAAGATACAGTGCATAACTACAATGCCATATAAAATGTTCAAGCAAAAATACTGAGAATAATCCCCAGGGAAACCAGTGACCATGAACATGAATTTTTGGGTCGATATATACACTAAGAGAAGCTCATGCAAATATAACCATGTTAAAAATCCTGATAGGAATGAACTAGTGCAACTACGGTGCAATGAACAAGAAAGCTAATATACCTAGAAGCCAATGTTACATTAAAAAAAATCCACAGCAACTTTCCCAAACTTGCAATTATATCATGATTTGTAGATCCCTACAGAGATTCCCCAAAAGACATGTCACTATGCAGATACACTGCCAGGATCAGAGACTGAAGTTGTACTTAATCTAAAAAGAACTTTTTCTTTTTACTTCCATAGCATATCATGTAAGTGTGTGTTTATGTATATATAAACACACACATATATAAAAATAATGAAGACATTTAAATCTATTCATTCTGATTTAATCTGATGCAGTGTTTTATTTTTAACAATATACAGGAGTTCTTAACAGAGCTTTTTGCTGCTACATAAAAAGTAGCACGAACGTGGAATACGCACATGTCATTTAACTGAAGAGAACTGAAACTACACTTAGCTAAATAGTGGGTGGGGGAGAAATTATTTTTGTCCCACAGGATTCAGTAAGAGATGACGGAAACATGGACTTCCCCTGGAAAAATCAAATGCTTAAGCAGCTGTACACACTGTAAAAATATCAGGATACAAAACTTTCCGGGAGCTGTTTCGGATTTGCACTTATACTCTACACCAAAGCTGTAGAAAGGTTCAACAGAAACATAAGTTATGCCCATATGTGCTCAAACTAGCTTTAGCCACAACCCATGAATGAGAAACCAGAGGCTGCTTCTTGAGGAACCTAGACATGCCTTAACCAACTGCTTCTAAATAAAAGATTTTGAGCTAGAAGCAACAGGGCAAAGAACAGAAGAGAATCCAAAAATGTGCGTCCTTGCCAAATGATGTAATACATGACTGAGGTTTAAAAAATCATGGTAGGAAATAAGGTGAATACAGAATGGTCATATACCATATCACACAATATTAGAACTACGGATGCTTGATGAAGTTACTAAGAGATTGACTCAAAACATATTAAAGTAAACTGCTAGAACTTGCTGTCACAGGGGGCTGTGGAAGCAGACAGTACCGTCAGGTTCAAAAAGACAATAGGAAAGTTCGTAGACAATGGGGACATAAGCAATGTACCTGCTAGCATGACCAATTTAACAAATATGGATGGCAGAGGAGTAAGAGAAGAAAACATAAAAAAGTGGCTGGGCTTTCATGCTCTTCCTAAATAGCATCACTTATTCCTACTGTCCGAGAGAGAACATTAGGTTGGATTCAACCCGATCTGATCCAGCAGAGTATTTCTCATGTTCTTACGAGGTTACCACTAACACTTGTCATTTCATAACACATTAATTTCTCCCCTTCTCCCATTTTTTATTCTTGAGCAGCTGACTGGAAGAAAATCTCCTCCCTCTGGCTAAAGCCCTATGTGAATACTAACAAACTTAGCACCCTGGCAAGGACAGGCAGGACACAGAGCAAGGCCACACTCTGAGACATCAGCACTTAAAGCAGAGCTACTTGTCCTGCTGAGTGCAGCCACTAGTGGTCCATAAGACAACAGAAGGTGGTTTGCAAAATGACCGTAAAAAGAGAAATTAAAGACTTCAATACACACAGGTACACACCTGTGCAACTGCCAATACCTGCTATCATACATACACTGGAAGAAGCCAGCTCCCAGCTGCTTTTAGTACCAGTAAGCAGGCATAATCAGCTACCTTGTGGTGCACATCAGCTCCAAAACAACAAAGTTGTAGCTCTGCACTCTATATACCGTCTCCCAAAACACTTAAACAGTCCTTCAGAGAGCCTAGAAAACAGTGTAGCAGAAAACTCTAGGGGCAATCTTTGCTGTACCATACCTGAGTACCAGCATTATGTCATCCAGAAATCTGGTACCTGACATCACCTGTAGTCTGCATTGAAGTTAATGGCTTAGTCACTACGAGAAAGCCCAAAGCATTATAGCCTCAAAACTCAAATCAGTCATTTTAAGCAAACGCTGTGACGAAAATATTAGAATATTTTAAATCATGTGGGTTGATACATTCTTAAACATATGCTCAGAACTTAACATTCAATGTACGTAAGACCCGTTTAGGCAATGGAATCCCCAAATGCATTGTAAATTGCAAGGCAATTATATGCTGGTGGTTAAAAGATGTATAATTAAGAGGACTGAGCTCAGAGCTTCACACACTGCATCCAAACAAAAGCCACGACTACAGAGGTCTTAACTGTGTTGTTTTGCTTTTGCTAATATTAGCACAAATTTCATGTTAAATTGCTTGCTGTGTTCATGGACACAGCACAGACACAGACAAGGTACAATCCTCTCCATATGTTTCCAAAACCATTAACTTGGGGCCAGAAGTAGAACGTGGATCTGTAAGAACCTCAGCTTTTCCACAAACACAAACAGCACAAATAGTAGTTTTGTCCATTCCTAAACTTGACCAAGAAAGAACAATTACCTGCATCGCCACTGTCTGACCCTTTTGCTGAGACTAAGAAAATACACAGAGTGTAAGATGTTTGGCAACATGGAATCCACTCAGAGATGAACAGAGACCATAAAATTCATGATAAAAAGACATGCATTTAAAGCTGACTTATAGCAAAACTTTTCCAATCAGTATTAATAAAAATTACATTTCTAAGAGGAAAGCAGAAAGATTCATTTTTCTGTTTCATAGCAACTAATACCTCTCTTTGAAGTGCTTTGTTCTGCACCACATCTAATTGTGATCAACATCAATACTACAAAGCTGTAACTTCTGTCCCTGTTCTGTGATCTAACCATAACTGGCTTAGTTCTAGTCTTTTAACAGCTCAATTCTCTATGATACTCAACTACCAAACCAAGACTTCTGTAATTCTGGAAACAAGTGTCTTTTTGTCAGTAAAAGCATTCATACTGAGACAGGGAACACTGGGAAGCAACCAAAGCCAACTACAAGAGTTCCTGTACAGAATGCTTTTATTAACTAGAGTACAATCCTTACTCAAGAAGACCCATGAAGTGCAGGTACTGCAACATGCATGGAAGTAACCTGACAGATCAAGGCACTCAACATGTTAAGATCTTACTAGATACTTCTAGTTTCCACCTGGAATCATATTTTGGACTACTTTTTTCATATGTTAAGATCTACCTAGGAAGACAGAAGCAACATTGCCCTCATTCTGCCTTTTTAGAAAGTTTATTATTTCAACTCTGGAAAAAGGCAGTTTATACTGCAGATATATTACGAGAAAAGCAGTAGAGTATTTTAGGCAACACTGGTAATACAGATTATGTTCCAGAATATAATGTTATAAATACAGAATTGAAGTATTATTCCTAATAGTAATAACCACTAGAGAACTTAAGAGACTTATAACTAGTTCAAATCAACAGCAGAAAACATAACTAAGAGGTGGAAAAGTAACTCATTTTGTTACCAAACTGACCAGGTTCTTCTTTTTGTTTTCCTACAACAAATGAACTTTTCATTTCAGCTGATTCAGTAATGATAAACAGTATCTTATAGAAAATTTGACAAAGATATCCCAAAGCCTAAAACCAAATATTTAAGACTCCAGGAATTTGGAAGGAAACTTCAAAGGATTTCTAAAGAGAAAAGGTCTTAGGTAGGAAGATTCATAACTATTGCCAAGAGCACATTCCTATAAGTTTCAAAAAATTTTCTAGACATTGGTATTCCTGACCTAAGGTTCAAGACGGGCTCCATATCTTGAAAGTCTTTTGAACAAGGACTTCTCTATTTGAGCAGAAGGTCTCAGGCTCCAGTCCTGCAATCACATCCTCACAGACAGATGCTCACGCTTGCACAGAAGCACACTTATTTCAACACAGTTTTAAACAGGCCCAGGTTAGGGTTAGGGTGAGCAGGCAGAGAGGCAGCCTTCAGATGCAGCAAGAAATGGAATATTTAGGCCATTGCAACATGGGAGAAATGCACTTTAAAAATGTTATCTCAAAATATCAAAACCATGATCCTGAAAGAAAGCAGAGATTAAATATACCACCCTTTGCATCTGTACTTGAACAAAAAAAAAAAAAGTCCAAGTCTTTTATTCATTCAAATAACAGATAATCTGCCCTTGAATATGAGGTTAAACAAAATACCTTAGTCTTATTTTTAGTCCCAATACTATGAAGGCAAACAAGTTTATTTTCACACAATACAGAAATATTATTTTTGCTCCAGAAGGAATACTCAATAAATAAAGGAGTAGAGCTCCTCGTAGAGCAGTCTTTCAGCAGTTATAAGCTATTGGAATTTCAGTGTAGTATTACAATAAATTTGTACCTCCTGATGATTTACCATATTGTGAGAACAAAGTATACACAGTTCTGTAGGACCAGGCCCTATGTACAAATTCATTCCACTCATCATAAAAATACCGAACATCAAAATAACTCTCAGCAAGTAAATTTTGGGTGGCCTTCTGTAGATAATTTAGCTTTACGATTTATAAAACTTGTCTGATCTTCATATATATTACAAACAATTCATGTAAAAGGCTGAACATCGCCAGCTTGTAAGTGACAGCTTCATACAAAACACAAGCGCTCCAGTTCAGCAATCAGCAGTGGTGGGGATGGTCTTACCACGAAACACTGCCTGTACAGGTGTGTCAATAGGACAGGGCACTCACCTACACACTGCCCTAATTTTGTCAATTCCATTTTTAAGTCTCACAATCCTCAAAAACTGAAAAGGGCCTTAAAATAAACCTTCATCATATGTTGTTGAGTAACAAAGTTAGAACTAACTATAGATCTATGTATTTCAATCAGATGGTATAAGGCTTAAGGTGAGTGTTACTGCAATTTCTAAAACTCATTTGAGGTTACTTGTACAAAGCCATTAGCATTCTGAGCTAAAAGACATATTAAGGAACTTTTGACCAAAACGCGCCACCTCCCGCATTAGAAACCGGAGCTGTTTCACCTGTGCGGGGTGAAGCGCGTTGGTGGGTCTCCCAGTGCACTCACTTCACAACTACCAGACGTTCTTTTCCCTGAAAAAAAGGATCCTTTCATTTGCAGTCCTGGGGGGCATGAGCACCTCACAGAGACACACCCCCCCCAGCCCAGCGGGTCCCCGGCGCACAGGGACAGCCGGGGTGCCCCAGTGGGGACATGAGAGGGGCCGGGGCCCACGGCCAGACACAGCCCTGGTTGTGCAGGGGCTGCTGAGGAGATTCCCTCCTCTGGCTGAGGGGCCAGTGCGCTGCTGCCCATGTCCCGATAACGCCAGCGGGTCCCGGGACAGTGCGGGTGCCTGAGGGACCCCTGCCCAGCCCCGGCGGGGCTCTGGCGGCCGCCAGCCCCGCACGTGTCGGGGCGCGAAGGTGCGGCCGGGACACCCCCTGCCCCTCGCCCCCGGCCCCGGGGGCCGGGCCGGGGCCACACGTTCCGGCAGCTTGTAGGGTGTGGGGGGGGGCACTGCGAGGGCATCTCCGCACCCCCACTCCCTCCCAAAAAGTTGTGCGGCGAATCCGCCCACCGCCGGCCCGGCCGGAGGGGGTCACCGGGGGGGGGGGGGGGGAGGCAGGGGGGCACAGGACGGGCGGGGGGGCCGCGACCGCATCCCGGGGTGCCCCCGCCCTGCCGGCACCGGCACCACGGCCGCGGGCGGAGGGTGGGCGGCGGCGGTGGGGGGGGGGGCAAGGCACCCCAAAAACGCCGCGAAACTTTCCAGGCCGCGGCCGGCGCAGCCCCGCGGGACCGGCACCGCCTCCGCCGCCACGGCCCCGCATCGGGCTGGGGGAGGGGGTGGGCCCCCCCCCGCCGCTCATTAAAAGTCATTTCGGCAAATTAATGCCGCCCCCAGCCCCCCGTCCCGCGGCCCCCTCGGCCCGCGCGGGGGGTTGGGGGGTGGGGGGAGCAGCCCCGGCCGCGGCGCCC